AGTGATGATAATCAGCGACCTCTCCCAAAGGTCCTGTTGAGTACATCTAATGCAAGCCAAAATGTGTTCTGGAGCTGCAGGCCCCAAGTTACATGTTGGGTAAGTGGGGTAGATTTTGTTGTTATTTTTCTATCTTCAATGGCTCTATTGACCTGTGAAATGTCAGGAAATGACACAGCAAGGACCGTCAGTAAAGGGAACAGTATTGCTGCAGGAATGTTTGGATGACCAGCAAGGCTGAAATTGAAATCTTTGACAATATCTGACAAATTGTTTTTCTATTTGCTGGTTATTAGGGATTAAAGAAATGAAATATTTTTATCAAAGGTTAATGGTATACCAATTTTTTTATATTTTCATCAATTTTGTAGAAAGTTTGCCGTAAGTCTTTGAACTTTTGGACCTAACTTCAGCCATCTTTGAAGCCTAAACAACCGTTTTCATGATTTGACAGAATTTCTTATTAAGTAATGAAAACCTTTCTGTTTACTACAATTCCATTTTGTAAACATATAGAATGTATGTTTGTAGTTTAGAATTTTTTGGGCATCACAAAAAAACATGTTTTGAGAACACAAGAATATTTCTAGGAAAAAAAGAAGCACCGGATTTGTAAATTTTAGTAATTGTAAACGTGCAAGAAATTTTTGATTCACTGATAGATTAAAGATTTTTGTCGAAACGTCACTTGATATATTGTTATATAAAGATTTACTGGCCGAAGTATCTTTAATTTGATGAACTATGGATGCCGGCCAAAAGCAACCTCTATCTTTATGATTAAATAAAAAAGTTTCTCTCTTGGTGGAGTGGGATAAATCATCAATATCTGACATCCACAGCCGGGATCTAATCCCAACTTGGACACTCTTTTCTAAAAAAAGAAAAAAAAAAAATTTGCTTCAATGGACCTGATTCTTGCTAAAGTCCAACCCCACAAACAAAGCTCTGACATATTTATAGATGAAAGGATTTAAAAACACGAATGTTTCGTTTATTAATAATACAAACTTCTACTGTCCTTACTGCGATGAAAAAAATATATATTAGGAGGGCTTGGCTCATCAGTGGTGAACCCTCCCAGCAGTTTCGCCAAAATTTAATCCACCAGACCGCTTCTCAGAGCTCTAATACTGTATTGGACGATTCTGCTTATATATGCTACACTGAAGGATGGAATCTTAGAAATGGTTTTCAAGTAAACTATGGACATAAGCTTATAGGACAGTAGAATTACATTCAAATATTTGCATCGAGCAATGCTTTTCCGCAAACAATAAAGACAAGGTCAGTTAGGCATAAATCAACACAAAGCAATAACACGCCATCTGTACATATAAAATGAAAGGATTTAAAAGCACGAATGTTTCTTTTATACATAATACAAACTTCTATATTTATAGATGCAAAAATTAGGTGTGTGTGAGAAAATAAGACCTAATCTAAATAATAGTGTGTGACGTTTCGGCAACAGCATTGTTACCTTCTTGTATTTATAATCCAAATTGTGCTTTATCACGTGTGTGTGAAATATAAATCAATATATAATAAAATTGATAAATAGATAAAGTACAATTATAGGATTAGAAAGAGGCTCCAAGACCAAATTATTGAAATGTTTATCAAAATCCATTGAAGTCAATTTAAAAAAAATTTAATTGGTACAATTTGGATTATAGATTAGAAACAAAAGGAGTAACATGACCAGAATAGTTTTATGTTTGGAGTTGAATTTTGTGGGGGAGAAAAAGAGAAAGGTTTTGCTACCTTTTGTTTCAAATTTAAGAAGAAAAAACTTGCTTAAAATGGTGGTTATGCGGAGATAGAATAAGGATGTCCAATTGTATTAGTGGTTGTTTCCTACTTCAGCACCGTAATAAGTCTTCTTCTTCTTTCTTATCTCCACACTGGGTGAAGTAGAATGTGTTTGTCTTTGTCATTAAGACTGGGAGCACTACTCAGTGGCAGGCCGACTTAGCTCCAAAATAAATGGCCGCCTCTGACATGAAGAACAGGCGCCATGTGCAGCCGCTCCTAACATGGAGTACAAACGATGCTCATCCTGTATCCCTGGAGCCCTTACAGGGTACTATCAGCTGGGCCAGCTGAGCCCAGGTTTTTTAGTGAGCTTGTTACTGCTCCTCCTCCTCCTTTTTCTTCCGGGCTTGGGACCGGCAAAGGCGGAGTTTCGATATATAATAAATTTGATAAAGGTACAATTATAGGATTAGAAAGAAGCTGCAAAACCAAATTCAAATTATTGAAATGTTCATCAAAATCCATTGAAGTCAATTAAATAATAATAATAATTGGCACAATTTGGATTATAGATTACAAACAAAAGGAGTAACATGACCAGAATAGTTATATGTTTGGAGTTGGATTTTGTGAGGGGAGAAAGAGAGAAAGGTTTTGCTACCTTTTGTTTCAAATTTAAGAAGAAAAAAACTTGCTTAAAATGGTGGTTATGCAGAGATAGAATTAGGATGTCCAATTGTATAGTGGTTGTTTCCTACTTCAGCACCGTAATAAGTAAATTTAACAGGCTTCTCTCTGAGTTATACTGTATTGAAGAAAAAAATCGTACTCTGTTGTATTGAAAGAAATAATTTAAAAATAATATTTATTACTGTACTAGTGTTATAACCTACATATAGAGGTAAATGAGGAACCAATAGGAGATCATCTCTTCCCTAAATAATCAGTCTATGCCCCTTTGGTTGGTAGGGAATTATTAGAACTTCCTTTTTGCTCTATTTTTATTCTTTATTCGCTCCCTTCATCTTAATTTTTATAATAAAACTTATAAATCAAATTTTAAAATCACATTTTCTCTTTCACGAAGTGAATTCATTACCTGCTTTTGAAAATAATGTTTTTATAAACAATAAAAAGCCTATTTTCGATATATAGAATTAATTTTTCTATTGCAGTAAGGGCAGTAGAAATTGTTTAATATCAAAAAGAATCTTACGCCTTTAAAATAGTTTCGAATTTTGATATATTGAAATGTTTTAAATGTAATGATTGAGAGAATTTTCAATTTAAAAACATCGAAATTAATATATTTATAATATATATAAAGGAACCAATGTGGGAGGGTTTGTTTAAGAAATTAAAAACAAATATTGAAATCAAAAGACAAATAAGTCAGTTTACAGGCCCAATATAAGCTCGACGGTGGCGCTCGAGTGGCGGAAGTGAGAACTAAATTTACTTTATTTTATTTTGCCCCGTTTAAAGGGTAATTTATGTGAAATCGATTTCATATTTATCACAATTATGTACACTGCGTGACATTGAAAATGGAACACCAAGAAATAGTGGCCAGAAAATTATGCAAATTTCAGGGTAGACGCGCCTAACCGAGTTATGCAAATGATGTAAAATGCGCAGCTCTCGTGCGCACATGGAGTAAGATATAAGGGAAGGAACTTGCAGAAAGGACAGTATTCGTGTCGTTATTTCTTCAAGGAAAATCATTGTAGAAATTTCTAAAAAATACACTAAAATAAAAGTAAATATTTCATATAGCTTATGTCATTGTACAATTAGATTTATATTAATAGAAATAAACGTGTCTGAGGAGGAACATATATTGAGTGAAGAGGTAAAGAATTTAGTAAATATAAAAAAGATATCGAACTTCCGCCCCCCTGTTTAGTAGATTCTCAAAATTCTCTATTTAGTTTAAATTTATATGAAAGAGATATTTATTGGTTTTATTAACACAGCAGAGTGGCGCAGTGGAAGCGTGCTGGGCCCATAACCCAGAGGTCCGTGGATCGAAACCACGCTCTGCTATTTTTTTTTTCATTTATTTTGTAAACTGTAAAACCTCGCTTGAGATACAACCGAAAAACATGTTTTGATGATGATTTTCTTCTAGAAAACCTGGTCAACACGGTCATTAACAGTAGTCGATATATACATGTTTACAGACAGGAATTCTTTCTTTTCGTCGGTAGGCCATCTTGGAGTTATTCTCAATAGTTTTATTTATATAAAAAATATTTATTGGCAAGATTTTTTGCAGCAGAGTGGCGCAGTGGAAGCGTGCTGGGCCCATAACCCAGAGGTCCGTGGATCGAAACCACGCTCTGCTATATATTTTTTGTTTTAGAGTTAAAAGTGATGATAAATGATTAGTTCATTTATATCGGACTTTCTTTAATCAAAAGTTTCTACATCTTGTTATCTATATGCCTATTTACAAGTGAATACATTTACAAAATAACATATACAATATATTGTTAATTGCCTGATATCTTTATTTTACTTGGGATGTTTAAAATATAATATACTAGACGAATGGCCCGGGCAACGCCCGGGTTTTACCCGAGTGCGAATACACCTTGCTTCCTAGGGTTGTCGGCGCCCGTTGACTGCCCGGCGAGCAAGCGACTGCTCCCGTCGGCTGCCGGCGTGGGAGTGGCTTCCCGGCGCATGCGCGCGCACAGGGAAGCCACGTGTCGCAGGCGGCCAATGGGCGCGGCCCGCCATCAGTTCTAACCGCGTTCTAGATGAGCTATTTAGAATAATTTGAATATATAGTTTTAATAATTGATTTATATATGTTTTAAAATAGCCTATCGTCATCCTCGTTATTTTTTACCTATGTATGGAAATTTTGGTTTGAATTAGTGAACTACTGCGAATTTGTATACCGGACATACAAACCAACCAACCAACCAACAGACAAACATACAAACATTCATTTTTATATATATAGATATGAACTGTGGCTACAAAGACAGACTTCTAAACCGCACGGCAGCCCGGGTAGTTGTTGATCTTTGAATAGGCTCCAGGAATCTGGGTTACCTTTATGTTAATAAATAATATATATTTATAGAACGCGGCATTTGAAAATATCCCGCATGTGTTTCTTTTGAACGAAAAATCGAAATTTTATTTTAAGGAGAAATAACGATTATTTCTAACCTTAGGGATGAAGTATGAAAGGATGAATTGTGAAGAGTAATGATAAACGGAAATATGTCCAGGGTAGCCTAGTGGACATGGCATCTGCCCGGTAAGCGGAACACTGTGGGTTCGATTCCCATCCCTTGACACTTTTATTTTTCTGTTTATCATTACTCTTCACAATTCATCTTTTCATACTTCATCCCTAAAGTTAGAAATAATCGTTATTTCTCCTTAAAATAAAATTTCGGTTTTTCGTTCAAAAGAAACACATGAGGGATATTTTCAAATATCGATCTACAATCAGAGACCGCATTATATTGTATAAAAATATATATTTATATCAAGGTGAAAATATCAGACTTCCAGGGATAAGCTTCCTTTCAAAATCTTTAATTCACAAATCTCACACAACAACACACACACACCGAGCGAGCGGTAACGCTATTTTTAGCTCCGCCGTTTTTCGCCTTTGGCGTGTGTGAAAATGCCAAAAGATTCGGCAAATGTGGCACCGGCTGAAAGCCTTGGAAAAGCTCTACAAATGACTGAAAGGCTGGCTCGAATTGTGGGGTCTTAGCTTAGAATTCAGCAAAAGAAGCTTTAGTAATTTATTCTTCTGAAATCAATGAAAAAACTGCTGGCAATACAAATTTACCAGCCAGCAACAATCATGCAAATCCCGCCGCAGCGCGCGACGTCACGGCGCCTTTGTCATCCACTGGCGCTAATCAGGCCACGAGAAGCTGGGCTGAGACCATGGAGGTGGAGGATGGTCCAGAAGATGCCTTCACCATCGTAAGAAACAAGAAAAGACGCCGCGGCTCAGCGCCTTCAGAACATCTTGCGGCGCTGCCCAGCAGCGCCAGAGGACCAGACAACTCCCAGCCTCGCAAGCGACCTACAGGGCTGCGGACAATGCAGCTCCAAGAGGTGAAGTCACACGGAAAACATCGCTGATGCTAGAGCGAGGCAGGCTTCATCCAACCAGGACAACTACGTCTTCATCGAGCACTGTCCTGACTTTGCGCCCTACCAGTACCTCCAATCCGTGGACAAGCTGGTCGGGAGACCCAAGAACATCGTCCAATTCAACAGGATGAATAGACACGTCCTCGTGTGCCTGTCCAGCAAAGCCCTTGCGGACCGATTGATCGACCAGAGCCTGGAAATCGAGGTCACGACCCTCAAGATCTTCCCCTATCGCAAAAGGACGGAGAGAATAATCGTGAAAAACCCCCCCGGCTTCGTGGAAGACGCCGCCATTATAGAAGCCCTACGGCCCTATGGACGGGTGACCCTATCGCCCCTATCCAGGTCAAAATGGGTGAGTACACCTTCACCGACGGCCGCCGGGAGGCCTACATTCTACTCCACGAAGGCATGAAGCTGGACAAGCTGCCAACTCGCCTTGACTTAAAATCGAAAGGCGATTCTCTGCCAGCCTTCCTATCCTTCGGGATAAAGTGTTCGAAATGCGGCAAGCAGGGTCACCGCAGAGCCAATTCTCCTACGCTAGCTAGGCGGAACATCGACCCCAAGCGACTGGTTTCTCTATCCCAGATTGATGTAGCTTCTCCCACCGTGCCCAAACAAACCGGCCCGCCAGTGTCTGTGCCCTCTCCACCAGCGCCTCTTGATCCATCAGAGGAGGTGTCAAGCACTGCCCCAGCGACCCCCACTGTTGCTCCGGGATCCCCAGCCTGCGCGACTTCTGCCACCTGGAGAGGCGCCAATTTCAGCCGGTACGGCTTCTATCCCGCCTACACTAGCCCTATCTTCCCTGACCCCCCCCCCCCCCCCCCAGCACCCACCGAGCCAATGGAGGTGACGCAGACCGAGGAGGAAAGCAGTAGCTCCACTCCTAAGGGGAGGCGAGTTATCAGAACCCAGCTCGATATCCTCCTGCGGCGGGCTCCCTGCTCGCTGTTCGACGGAACTGATAACCTAGATCTCAACAGGGAGAAGGTCTGTAGCGTCCTTGTCTCCCCACCCTCCCTCAAAAAGCTCCTCCTTGTAACCACACCCGCCCAGAAGAGTGCTTTGCTCGATTTGGTCGATGCCCTCTGGAAGATGAAGCCGGACTCAAGCAGCTCCCTCTACAAATGCCTTCGTCAGGCCCTGAGCCTGCTCCGCCATAAGTCTTTATAGGCCTCAACATCGCCTCCATCAACGCGCGCGGGCTCGCTACTCGGAGGAGGAGCCTAAACCTTTGACATCTCCTGCGGCAACATCGCGTGGACATAGCATTCGTCCAAGAAACGAACGCCCTCCATCTCGATAGCGCCCAAGACCTCTGCCTCGGCTACAACGCCGTCGTTGCACTACCCGACGACATCTCGGGGTCGGGCCTCGTCTGTGTCTTCGCGCCGGGCGTCACCATCTCGCGACACCGCGTACTGTAGCCGGGTCACTTCGACGTCCATGGCTAGGAGATGGCATTCATAAATGTCCGCCTATCACATGATCCTCGTGAGCGACTCGAGCAGCTCGGCGTCATCGAGGTGGCTGCGGTCCAAGAGGAAGCCTGGGTACTTGGGGATTTTAACGTCAGGGAGGACTGGAACCGCGATTCTCTCTCCGTGGGGGCCCTCAGAGCTCTTCATGAATCGGCTGCGCCGTTTGACGCGGCCACCGAGTTTGACGCCGCTTACCTCCACACCAGGGTCGCTAGCCACGGCGACTAGATCGAGAGCAGTCGCCTTGACAGGATCCTCGTTCCAGTGCGTTTCCTGGAGAGAACAACATCTTATGCGACCACGTTCTACGAACTTCTCCGATCATCGCATGGTGCTGCTCCGTGTGGGCCCCCCAGCCGCTCCCTCCCAACCTCGCGTGGCCGCTATGCTCCGCTCTGGGCTGGTCCTAGAGCATTTAAATAACTATCTGGTGGAGATTGGGAAGACTTATCCCAGCTTGATGCGTCTCGGTTGTGGGACCGCTGGTCGCTCATCAAGGCCGGCCTGCTCGCGGAGGCTCGATCACTCCACATTCCTCGCCACTACACTCGGGATGACAGCTACATCGGCAGGGCTCAACGCCTCATCAGGGCGCAGCTTGAGGCTTCGTCGATCAATGCCGACTACCCATCCCTCCCGGACCTCGCGCGCCTTGTGCGCCACCACCGCCCAGCTGTCACCATCAGAAACGAGGACGGCGCTGTCTTCGATGGTCCTGAACTGCGGCGTAAGGCCTATGATATTTTCCAGGCTCGCTTTGCCCGCGCGGCTTGTGACCCGACTGCTGGCGCGGCCTTCATTGAGGGGTCTACCATTCCCCTTGACATCGATGAGGACGACCCCCTCCACAGGGAAGATATCACCTTGACCGAGTTGCCACCGCCATCTCCCGTCTCCCTCGCGGAAGGGCCCCAGGCTGAGGCGGTCTGCCCTGCGAGCTCCTAGATGCCTTTGTGAACTTCTTCGCGGGAGCCTTGTGGCGTGTGTTTACGGCCTCCCACTTCCGCGGTGCCCTGCCACCATCCACGCGGCGTAGCCCCATCTATCTGGTCCCGAAGACCCGCGGCGGTCGCGGCTTCAGCGGCTATAGGCCCATATCGCTGCCCTCGGCCGGCTACCGTGTCCTGGCGGGTATCCTCCTTCGTCGCCTCAGACACCATCTACCAGCGCTGGTGCCGGAGTGCCAAACCTCCGCCGTCCCCGGGAGGGCACCATCCAGGAATATCGCCTGGGTTACCGATGCTGTTGAGGAGGCGACGGCTGGAGGCCTGCCGCTTGAATCCACCTTCGACTCCCTGGACCGAGGCTTCCTGTGGACGCTCCTGTAATCCCTGCGCCTCTCACCGGCCTTTATGAAATGGATTAGGCTCCTGTACGCTGAGGCGGATGTGACGATCAAGGCCGAAGACTTCCACACCACCGCCTTCCACCTACTAAACGGCCTTAGGCAGGGCTGCGCCGTCAGTGGCCCACTCTTCAGCATCGCGACAGGGCCGCTGCTTCGTCGTCTCGAATCCTCCCTCGGCGCGGGCAATGTCATCGCTTACGCCAACGACATCACCCTCCTGATCGCCGCGACGAGCAGTTTGAACAGGTGGAGACCGTTCTTCGGGACTTCCGTCTGGCTTTGGGCATAGCTGTGAACTTAGGGAACAGTGCCGGCCTTTGGTGCGGTGCGTGGCGCGCTCGCGGTGACTCTCCCCTAGGTGCCTCCTGGTCGACATCTTCCATCAAAGTCCTGGGGATGGACATTGTCCCTTTCAGATCTGTCGCCCGCCAGGAACAGCATCTTCTGACCCTGCTGGATTCTGCCTGCAGGAAGTGGACGCCTTTCACGCGTGGCCTCTCTCTTGTCGGCCGAGCCAATGCCGCCAATACCATGGTACTCTCAACCACCCAGCACCACCTTCATGAAAACCTACACGGAGAGGCTACCATCACCAAGCTACAGGCCCGCTTGCGAAGGTTTATCTGGGGCCCTGACCGCACTGCTTGGCTTCCCGCAGACATCGTATCGAGGTCTGTTGCCCTCGGGGGCCTCGGGCTTTCGGACATCGGCGCCCAACTCCATCTGGCCTGCCTCAAGGGCGTTCAGGCTGTGCTCCGTGGGGGAAAGAATGGCTTCTCCTGGCTGGTGTTGGGGGGCGTCTGACTCCGCCCCCTTCCGACGGTACTCCGCTCTGGCCCCGCCGCCTACGGCTACTGAGGCTCTGGGAGGAGGCCTCCAAAATCCTTGGCCTCGACCACCGGGCTGTTCCCACATCCCAGCTATTGGAGCTCCCCATCATTGGTGGCTGCCGGTTCCTTCGCCCTCCCAACCTCCTGGCCCCTGCGCGCTGGTCCGGGATCCGTGTCGCGGACCTGAGGGATGCCCCCGACATCCGCCCTACTCGCTCCTCTCTCGCAGACGCCGCTCCCCATGTTGCCTTCTGCCGGAGGACGTTGGGGGAGATCCTCCAGGAGAGCACCAGGGCTGATTACCTGTCTGAGGCTGTGGTCTTGCGCGGGACGACTACGCACTTCTCGAGGCTCACCACCCGCTTGGCCCGTCGCGCCTTGGAGCGTTCGCGCTTCGCGGCACAGTCGATCACCAGGCTTCTCTCCAGAAAGACATCTGTGGTTGACGCGCCGGCTAGCCTCGACTGGACTTCATTGCGGCGCTGCGCCTTCTCGGGCCACGACATCGACAA